TAGCAACATGGGGCAGGATGACCCCAGTAGTGTAAGACCTTGGTGAGGAAGGCTAAGTCATTGATGTGATGCTCTTCAACAGTTCTGTATGGGCCTCTAACTTATTGCTTTATGATTGATTTGACATTTTTATATGACATCCTTCGATACCTATTCCAGGGTAATTTATTTAAAAAACAAAACAAAAAACCATTAAACAAAGTAAACAACAACAATCAATACAGCAGCACATGAAATAGTAGTGCTTAAAAACTCATTAAATGTTTTATGGCCTGCAGAAATAAAAAGAACCTTTTCTTCAGCCAAAAAGGCATCAATGTAGCATAGGAATGTATTTTAGTCATCCTGAATATTTGAGTATATTGAGTGTGGATGGGCACATACAGGGCCCTAGTTATTGATGAGTTCTACAGACTTTGCCCACAGAGGACAAAGTGGACCGTGACATACTGCCTACTGTCTGAATTGAAAAGCAGAGTCAGATTCAAAACTAAAAGCATATGGGATTTATTCAAGATACACGGCCACACAGAAAACAATGGAGATAGAGAATATGGAAGTAGAGATTTAAAACTGCTAACAGTGGTGGTGGCCCTTCTCGTTAGCTTCTCCGATGTCATGGGCAACCTTACCCATCTTTTCTTTGTTCCTTATATATATTGCCCTAGTGCCAACCTTGACCATAATGTCTGCTGCGGCACTTGATTGGGCACAATTCCAGCTTTAGTCTGGCCCATTTTCATCTATCCATGCCCCCTGTCCCTAGCACATAAACAAAATAACAAAGTCGTGGACCAATAAATGGGGGGGGGGGAGATAAATAGGTGTAAATGCATATACAGCCATCGATGCAAACCTCCAGCTTAATGTGATATAATATAATGCAGATATGGTTAACAACCATTAAACAGTAAAAGAACCATTATCAGAGAATATAGAGCAGAATACAAAATTAAGTGTCAGAAAAGCTGAATAACAAATGACCTGGTTATTTTGCTTGTATTGTTGAGGGGCCTCCTCTTTTTGCTTTACTTTCTCCCTACATAACCTCATCTCAAAAAATGCCCCTAACCTTGCAGAAAACTTTCTTGCAGAAATCTCTTGTCTTGATTTGTTCTTGTGTTCCAACCCCAAATGCAGAGGATGGGCGCACCCTTTTATGATGGACATGTCTCATTTTCAACCAGAAGAGAAGATTTACCATGGCTCTCCAATAACAGGAGTTGTAGAGTTGGAAAGGACCTCAAGAGGTCCAACTGTCTGCAATGCAGGAATCACAGTTAAATACAGTGTTACCTCGGGTTACAAACACTTCAAGTTACAGACTCCGCTAACCCGGAAGTAGTACCCCAGGTTATGAACTTTACCTCAGGATGAGAACAGAAATTGTGCGGCGGTGGCGCGGCATGAGGCCCCATTAGCTAAAGTGGTACCTCAGGTTAAGAATGGTTTCAGGTTAAGAACGGACCTCTGGAACTAATTAAGTTTGTAACCAGAGGTACCACTGTAATCCCTGACAGAAAGCAATCCAACCTCTGCCATCTGCCTTTGTGAGTCCACAGCTCCTCCCTCCCTCCACCCTCCCTCCCTCTCTCCCTCCCTCCCTCACTCCCCCCCCCTCTCACACACACACTTTCCCCTGGCCCTCACCCCCTAAAGTCCATCAGAGTCCAGAGTTAATTCATAGAGGCTGGCCTACCATTGGTGGCCTGCTGTACCTTTGAGCTGGCCCAGTCAGGAAAAGTGTCAAATATATAGCTTGTAGTGTGATAAATTGTGACAAAGCACATCCTTTCCCTCTTTTTCGTATGGCTGTGTATGGCAAACAGTTGTTGCCAGACTGCTGATGTGTAGCAACTTACACCTTTCTGTTCACTACTAGAGCTGCTAGGCACATTGCACATAAGTCAACTATAATGACTGTAGACTTTTGCTACACAACACATTAAAGTACCGTATATTAAAACTGCATAGTGTATAACTCCCTCCTCAGTAACTATTGTATTATCAAGAAGGAGACATTTGATTTTAAGCAGGACCTACTGTGTTCACAATACAATCTTATGAACTCAATGTGGAACCTAGTCTGGATGAGTTTCTTGTTCTACAGCATAAATAAAATGGGGAGCATTATGCTTTCTCACTCCTCCAAACCTCTGCCTACAAGTTACAAAAATGGCATCAACCCACTGAACAAAGGATGCAAAATTGTTATTATGAGTCCTGTCTAAAGAGCTATTTTAGAGGGGAACATCATTCTTCAAGCTTATAGAAAGTGGTGGTTTAGAAGCACTAGAATGAGCATCACAGAATCCATTTAACCAATAGCAAGGAATATATATTAGGATCAGTCCAGAGGCCAATCTAGCTGAATGTCTTGCTCTCACTGTGGGTAACTCGCCCCACTTGTAATTCCCAGAAACATAGTGCCTCTAACAACAGTTAAGTTAGAACATAGTCATTGGTAGCCAGCCTTTTCCTCCATGAATTTGTCTAACCATAATTTAAAGCCAGGGGATGCGGGTGGCGCTGTGGGTTAAACCACAGAGCCTAGGACTTGCAGATCAGAAGGTTGGCGGTTCGAATCCCCGCAACGGAGTGAGCTCCCGTTGCTCGGTCCCTGGTCCTGCCAACCTAGCAGTTCGAAAGCACGTCAAAGTACAAGTAGATAAATAGGTACCGCTCTGGCGGGAAGGTAAACGGCGTTTTGGTGCACTGCTCTGGTTCGCCAGAAGCAGCTTAGTCATGCTGGCCACATGACCTGGAAGCTGTACGCCGGCTCCCTCGGCCAATAAAGCGAGATGAGCGCCGCAACCCCAGAGTCGGTCACGACTGGACCTAATGGTCAGGGGTCCCTTTACTTTACTTTAATTTAAAGCCATCCAAGTTGGGGGCCGTCACAACATCTTGAAGGAGCAAATTCCATAATTTAATTATGTACTGTGTGAGTAAGTCCTTTATTTTATCTGTCCTGAATTTTTCAATATTCTCCTTCATTATACGTCCACAAGTTCTAGTATTATGAAAGGGGCAGAAAAATGAATAGGTCCACAGTCTCTACCTAAAGGGCATGGATTGTATACAATCTACATTGGGTGGAAAGAGATTTGCAAAGAAAATGGACTGTAAGGGACAGGAAAGAGAAGAATATACAAGTTGTGAGTATGTGATAGAGGAAGAAGACTATCTAGGAGAAAAAGTTGCAGCAAAGAGGAGACTGTACTAAGCCAGAAAATGAATTTGCAAACAGTGGCGATCATCACAAAGAAAGCCACCCAATGTTTGGATGAGTGGTGACTGATCACTCAGTAGTTTTCTAATATGTATGAGCCAACTTGAACTGGAAGCAAGTAACAAACCTCTCTTGTTACAAATAAAAGGAACAAATAAAGGGCAGGAACATCTGCTGCTTCTTTGCCTCAAAATGTTCTACTAAACTCATGAAGAGAATGCAGGATTTTGAGCACAGCAAAAATGCAGGAAATGGTTCTTCTTTTATTCTTAAGCAGGCTGTGACCTTCAGCACCCGCAAAGAACAAAGAGGGAGGTTTTCTAACCACTTTGATAGCAGTGTTCACTTGGAAGAGATTGTATTGAACCAGTGTAATGAAAGATCTTGCCAGAGAAATAATTCCTGAGTGTTCATATACTGTCATGGGGAAACTGTCTGAAACATAAAATGAGTCAAGAAAAGGCCTGTTGGTTTCTGTTTCAGTTCATCTCCTCTGTGTCCATTGAACTATGGTTTATTAAATCATGGCTTAGCATTGTGTGTGAATCCTCCCCAGCACCTTGACCATGTGTGTGTTTTTTACTGTCAGAAAACTACTATCTGAAGCCATGGTTTGCTATTGGCTTATGGACCTTCATTTGTTTTAACTATGGCTTGATATTATATGCAAGCACAACATCCTTCCTTATCCATGGTTTGTTTGACCACCCCACCTCAGATGCTCACCACGGCAAGAGCACTTAAAGAAAAGAAGAAAAACTTGGATGAAGCAAGCCATGGTTTATCTGATCATCCATGGAACAACTTGTGATAACTTGTGGGTTGCTTAACAAACAATGGCTTAGGATCAGTGCTTTTTTTCTAAAGATTTTGGGAATCTTTGTCCTTTTGTCCTTTTACTGTATTTATTTTTACCAGTTTGAACTATAAAATAGTGATTTTTTTTGAGTCAAAATGAGAGTACCCCTAAACATTTTCTAAGGGGAAAAAAAAGAGCACTGCTTAGAATTATGTGCAAAGAAGATCTAATGTGGTCTTATGCCCCTTGTACAATCTTGTCAAAACTAAGTACTTCGGTTTAAGCCTTCTCAGGGCTTCTGAAATCAGATCTATTATCAGTATGTACCAGATGAGAAAGGTTCCATAATACTTCCATAATACAGGGAATTTGGAGAAGGAATGTAAAGTTAGAGGAAAAGAATTTGCTGCAATCTGCTCTTATGAATGTCTTTTGAGGTGGCTATCCTTGGCTCCCAGACACAAATTGGATGATGAATGTTAGAAGCATCACAGTCTCATCCTGCCTACACACGCCATTCTGAATCCCTTTCATTGGAAAAAAGGGTTTCACAGTTATTGTTTTCTTTAAGGCCGCCTAGGCACACTAACTGAATACTAGTCTCCTCATACATTTATAATCAAATCTGAGAACACTCCTTTTATTACCGTATTTTTTGCTCCATAAGACGCACCAGACCATAAGGCGCACCTAGTTTTGGGAGGAGGAAAACAAGAAAAAATTATTCTGAATCCCATAAGCCAGAACAGCAAGAGGGATCTGGCTTCTGGGATACCGTGTGGCTGTTCTGGCTTCTGGGATAACCGTGCCAAGCCTCTTCAGGGCAGTGGGATGAAGGCTAGAGGCTGTGTGTGGCTAAGGCAGAAGCCAGGACAGGCGCGTCGCCCCTTCAGCAAAGCTGGAGAAGGAACAGAAGGAGATCCTTCTGTTCCTCCTCTGGCTTCCAGGACAGCTGCGTCACTGAAGGGGTGCTGCGCAGTTCTCCCTCTCTGCGCAGTGCCTCTCCTTCGCAGGAGAGGTGCTGCGCAGAGAGGGAGAGCTGCGCAGTGCCCCTTCAGCGAAGAAGGAGGAGGAAGAGAAGGGGCTCCGTTCCTCCTCCCGCTTCGCTGAAGGGGCGCTGCGCAGCTCTACCTCTCTGCGCAGTGCTATTCGCCCCATAAGACGCACTCACATTTCCCCTTACTTTTTAGGAGGAAAAAAGTGCATCTTATGGAGTGAAAAATACGGTAATTTTTTAATCACACACTGGACAGACATACTTGCAGAGTTATGGAGTGTTGTTATATTAGTTACAGTATAGAGATTTTTGAATGAGAATGAATCAAAGAAAAATGAATAAGGAAGAAAAGGTGGCGTCTCCACTTCCATGGTGCTTCTTTGCTATACTTATATTTGAATGAGTTGCATGATGGGTGGTGGGGTTTTTTGTTTTGCAATCCCTATTAATTACAGTGATCAGAGAAAGTTATTGTGAACTCCGCAAAGAAAGAGAGAGAGAGAGAGAGAGAGAGAGAGAGAGAGAGAGAGAGAGAGAAGGCATTTCAGCTGTCAGTAGCGAAGCTAGTAAATTGTTTGCTAGGGGAATAGCCTGGGGGGAAATACGATGCCTAATTAAGAGGTTCTTATTGAAGGGATTGTGAGCATTTTTGCTTCATCAGCAAGGTATCAGCACTATCTTTGGAACCATAATCAAAACTGTGCTCATTAGCACCCATCTTTTACACTTTCTGAACTGCTTTAGATTTCAAAGAAAAATTCTACTGATGCGTCTCAAACAAGGCTAACCGTTTGGAAGGTTTGCATCTGAAGAAATACTCCAGAGAGCAGGACCTACTTCTCGCTTAGGTGGTAAAACCTGTGTACGGGCTTTATTATTTCACACCAAAAAAACTTGTACACATAGAGAACTAGCTTGGGGAAAAACAATAGCTCATTAGTAGTGTCCTTTTTTATAGAGGACACTCTATAAAGTGCTCCTCTATTTGAGGACATCCTCCGTCTCAGGTGTGGGGAACTGTGGCCCTCCAGGCATTGCTGAACTACAATTCCCATCAGCCCCAGCAAGCATGAGCAAAGGACCCCAGAAGACCTAAGCTTCCTCACACAGTCCAATTCCAGGCTCAAGATAAAGTCTTGATTGCAAATTGGTTGGGGAAGATAAGAGGGCAGAGTGGGCAACCTTGAAGTTGCTCATCAACTTGAAGTTAGCAGCTGGACAGTAGGCTGAGCAGGCATACAGGTTACCCGGTCACAATATTGATCTCTGCTATGGTGAGATGTATTGCATTTCTACTTAATTATTTCTTAATTTGCATTTATGAATATAAATGAGCACATGCAAATCTGTGTCCACCTTTTGGTGATGCCTTTCCTCTTTCTTGGCAATGCATGAATGGTAGAGGCAAGAGTAGAATTTGCAATTCAAACTGTACCATACATTCCGAGAGCAAGTGTAGCAGCTAAGCATCAAAGTTAAGCCTGCACTCAACTATGGTGGCTTTAGCAGTTTAATCTTTTGTCTTCCCATACAATCCCTGCTAAGAACTTCTGGTTGTCGGGACTGCCCCCTCACTGGCATATGGGCACTGAAGAGCATGGAGGCTCACCACAAGGCAGTGGGTTCCCTTTGGGGTCAGCCCCAAAGGGAAAACACCACAAGACAGGTGGTACATGACACCAGTCAAGCTTGCAAAAATCTATCATTTGCCCGATAATAAATGTTGGAAATGTAAAGAAACTGAAGGTACATTCTTTCACCTTTGGTGGACGTGCCCAAGGATTAAGGCTTTCTGGGAGATGATCTATAATGAAATGAAAAAGGTATTTAAATATACCTTTCTGAAGAAACCAGAGGCCTTCCTCCTGGGCATGGTTGGCCAATTGGTGCCAAAGAAGGATAGAACTTTCTTTATGTATGCTACAACAGCAGCAAGAATACTTATTGCAAAGTATTGGAAGACACAAGATTTACCCACCCTGGAAGAATGGCAGATGAAGGTGATGGACTATATGGAATTGGTGGAAATGACTGGCAGAATCCGAGACCAGGGAGAAGAGTTGGTGGAAGAAGATTGGAAGAAATTTAAAGACTATTTACAGAAATACTGTAAAATTAATGAATGTTAGAATGATGTCAGAATGAAGTTAAGTGGTTTTAGCAGCAATGTTACAAAGGAGTATGTAAAAATGGATTGTTAACAGGTGAGAACTTAAAGTTACAACATATTAAGTTAAAGGATTAGGATAAAAACAAAGAGGGAAAGGATTTGCTGAATTAGTTAATTGAACTGGAATATAAAAAAGGGAGGTGTGAGGAGGTCAGGGAAACAAGTAAATGAAAGAAGTGTTTTTACTTTTCTGTATTTTGTATTTTTTCTTTTCTTTTTTTTTCTTTTTTCTATTTTTGTAACCTTTTTTGAAACTTCAATAAATATCATTTAAAAAAAAACAAAACACCACAAGATCCCCCTTTGAGTTGTAAAATATGGGGAAACATGAGGGTGAGGGCACCACTGCCTTGTGGGATTTGCCACAGATAAAGAAGGGAGTGTGTCACGCAGGTGAGCAGCAAGAGGATGGATGTGCAGTCCTAAGTGAGAGACAGGCCCACCACGTATCTCCCCTGTTCTAGGAGAAAGATGGGAGAATTGTTATGAGGAGGCCACCTTGGGGAGAGGAAGGTGAAATTGACCTGTTCACCAAATAGGCATGACCCCTGAGCAGGAACCTCCAAATTCACCAAGGTTCTATTTGGTGAAAACAAGCAGTGCCCAAAATGGAACCACCCAATATCCCACAGGCCAACGCTGTTCTGGTTTTGACCTATGCAGCCCTAAAGGTTGTCTGGGACATTGATATTATGGAATGCCTCATAAAATCAAGAACATATTGCGGGGTGGGTGGGTGAAGACCTGGTGAGACGTGATGGAGGGCCTGGTGAGCCAAGCTGAACATTTGCTGAAAACATTTTTTTAAAATACAACCATCTTTCTGCACGTAAGAGCCAAGAGGAAGCCTGCCAGTTCTAGTTATGCCATAATTTAGTTATGGCTCTGGGGGCTGACACTAAAAAGAACACGTTGCCAGTTTATTGACTACAGCCTGGTATACAGTCAGTTATTTTCCACCTCGCATAGCTCTACTTTAGTTTGATTTGTGTCTGTGATTCGAGCAATAGGTTCCATGGACAGCTCTGGAAAGAGGAAAATAATGAGGTTTCCTTGGGGAATATTTCCGAATCAGTGTGTGCTAGGAAAAGGAAATCTTGCTCCTACTTACGAGCTGATGCCAGTGTTTTGGAGCACTTGCAGACTATGTGTGACAAGCGAACGGGAGTTTTAATAGGGCTGTTCAGAGTAAGACTCCAATGACAGATTCCTGGAATACATTTCAAGAATGTATTGCTTACAAAAGAATTCAGCGCAGGCTTTTTATTCTTTCTTTCTTTCTTTCTTTACTTTTTTTTTTTACTAAGGCTCTTTCACCTCTTTGACAAGCAGCAGCAGAGGAAGTTGCTTGGGTGCCTGGGGCGGCGAGCCCAGGGGTGGGGCGAGGCATACCGCAGGGCCTCTAGAGTCTGCCTGCCTCCTCCCACTCAGCCACCCTACATAAATAAATAAATAAAAGTATCTCAATATTTCATCGAAAGCATTGTGCTATAGATCTCTTCATATGCATCCTTAAAAGAAATTATATGTGGTTACAAATATGATCTGTGGCGCTTTTGATATACGGGGAGGGGGTGGTGGAACCAGGGGTTTTGAAAACTGGAAAGAACTAAAAGTAGTATTTTTGGAGGGTGCTTGGGACAACAAGGGGAGGAGCAAAATCTGCTTCTTTCCTTTTCCATTCGTTGAGGTGTTCACTGGATCAAATTGTATTCCACTCTAAATATCTTTTTTTGCTAAGTACTAAGGGAGCGCAATGAAACTATCAGGAATGTCACTGCTCCATTTCTACTGCTTTTCTCTTTATCTTCATTAACTTCATTCAATCCATTGCCTGGATTTCCAGTTCAAATTAATATTAGTCACCAGAAGACATATTTGCAAACTGCTTCTCTCTAGGCCTTAATAATGATGCAAACCATCTGGCCTTTTTGCCTGCATTGTTTCCTTTTATGCCTTTTCTTTATAACAACATAATTGTCTTTAAAGATCTGTTTCAATGTCTTTGAAGCCTGAGCAGGATATCTTTAACAACTTTGAGATCTTATTTAAATATATGCAGAAAATTCCATTCCATTTTTAAAATGCGGCCTGGAAATCAAAACTGAATTTTTTTTTAAGAGGTTTAGTTGGCTTCATCCCAATATTTATTTAATAAAATAGTATGACCAATGCAGCTCTAAAGGTTGTCTTGGACATTGATATTATGGAATAAAGGATACCCCATAAAATCAAGAACATCTTGCAGCCCTTCTGTGTTGAGGGGAGACATGAACCAAATCATCGTCTGGGACAGGGTGATGCTTTAGTAGTATATTCTTCCATTTTCATATCAGTTATAATATTTTTTTTTCTGTTTCATTTCGCTATTTAATTATGTTAGCTCAGTCATATTGGCTTATATCAGGGGTGGGGAACCTCAGGCCCAGGGCTGAATGTGGCCCACAGGAGCACTCTATCTGGACCATGGAACATTGCCTAGAACAAAACCCTAACCCTCCTCTAGTCATTTTACTTGGCTAGAAAGTATCCTCAAACTGTGATCCTATCTCTAGCTTACCTGAATAGAGGGTGGAAAATGGCGTGTGTGTCTCAGCACATCTCCTTATACCACATCCACCAGTCGTATGTGGCCCCTGGAAAGTTGCCCATGAGAGAATCTGGTCCTCTGGCTAAAAAAAAAAGGTCTCCCATCCCTGCTTTATACAGTGTTTTGTTTTGTTTTGTTTTGTTTATTAGGTTTCTTACTTGCTGATGTGTTTAAGCTGTTCATTAGATTAGTTTATTTGTATAGCTTTACCCAATGTTGTATGGAATGGGGTATTTTTGTTGTTGTTTTGATTATTTATAATTGTTTCTAATATGTTTTTAATTGGTACACT